ATTACTTATTTTGATAATTTTGTAGTTTACCAACATAAATATGTCTGCAAGTATGAAACAAATAATGAACCAATAACTTTTGAAGTTGTTTAGCTTTATACTGTGAGAAATTCCATCCTGGTACAATAGGTTCACCATTGTGTTAAAATACAGTAAATCCTCTTCTTCAACTTGTGTAGGTGAATAACCCTGTATGACTATTGATACCAAAGATATTTGATTCATAAGTAGTATCACATATGTTGAAAATCATAACATTTACCAGTCAAGGTAAATCCATTATGGTGTAATTCAGAAACATCTTGCACTGAATCATACGAAGCCCCTTTGGCCTTCACTGCACGAACTCAAACTCAAATGACAAAAAACAGAAACATTATTACAAATTACACTATTAATAATTTACTCTTATAAAAATTATTATTACTTGAAGAAGAGATCACGGAACCATGGAACCATTGTAACACAGGCGTCAAGATGGTGATATTAGTGACAGATGACACGTAATGACAGATGCCAGTCAGTTAAGTAAACAATTTGAAATTGATTTTCTTTTAACATTGTCCTGTAAGAGGCCAATGGCGTTAAATCATGACAAAATTATTACATGTATTTTAAAAAATAATATTCACTTGCCTTCAGAATCACATCTAAGAAAAAATATTAATGAGTCATCACAGATCAAATATTTTCGCAGTGCCTCACATCCAGGCGCTGATTTGTATTTTCTATTAACATCGCAAAATAAGTTTTTATTAAACTTAAATGACTGAAAATAAAAAAAATAATGTAATAACCTTTTCACTTTCATAAATATTCCTGTCTGTAGCGTATCTTCTCACCTGTTACTTCACCAACCCGCGATTTTCTTATCTTATCTCTCACAGTTTTTGAAATTCAGCAAACTTGCATATATAATTTCCAGATTGAGTAATAAAAAGTGGATGTGCAACTAATTTCAACTTTTGAATACATCTCAAGTAAGTCTATTTGAGACAAGAAACCAATGGAATTACCATTAACACAGATCATTAGCACGCACATCCTCACTATGTACCTATGCACTGCGGTTTCCTTCCAGATGTATATGTAGTCTATAGTATACAAGTTACCGCTTAGACCTCCAATATATTGCCATCTCAGAAACACTTGATACATCACATCATAGCCAAACTTTGACAGCTCAAACGTCATGATGTTTAGGCAACACGTACAACTACAAACGAGTTCACAACAAGTGTCAATCAGCTAGTGCTAAGACAACTTCTTGGCGAAAAACCTACATAATGACAAAAAAAATCGGCATAATGTCACTTTTCAAGATACCTGTGCGGAGCGAGGCGACGTTTCCAGATGCACTACCGGTAGGGCATGGGCAATTGTATCGACCTGTATGATTGAGTTTTTTTCTCAGAAGGGTCTAGTTTGTGTTGAAGATAATACATTATGAACTGATAACGGCGTTGCGTGTGAAGAGCAGAGTCAACCTACTTGAAGCCATTTTGTATGTCTCAGTATTGAAAAATGAGTTTAATTTTGCATAAGGTTGTCTAAATAATAGTTTTTGGAGATACATGGTAATACTGATCTTCCTTATTGCTTATGTGCCACATACGGCTTTTACCTTAAGATAATATCAGTTGTCCATGACGGAAATTGGGCGAACTACTAATGCGAGACAAAGCAATATTTCCATATATTTCGGAAACTAATAATTATTTACGAGGTACATGTCCTCATACAAAACGAACCTTGTTTTTAATTCTTGATACGATCAGTATATAAAAATTCATTTGAAAAAAGGACATTTTTGTTTTTTTTTATTTTTATTGTTTTCGACCAACTTGTACAACCTTGTTATCTAAGACTGTTGCAATTCAAGTAAAGTAGGTCTTTTACTACAAGAAATATACAAATCATGCCAAAGGCAAAAATATATACAGGGTGTTACCTATTGATAGGTCATAAATACAAGGACGCTTTCCTGAACTAAATTTAAGTAGAACATTTTATATAAACACGTGTCTTAAAAAGTCTGGTTTTTACAATTCAGGGTGTTGAAGTTTTATGAAAATATGGGTTTCTTATTAACTTCTCAGAGATATTTATGCCAATGTTTTTGAGTTTTGGCAGTGATGTTCACAGCAATAAGACGCTAGGTTAGCACAAACTACAAGATAACTATGAATTCCAGTGGCGTATCGGGGGCAGTCTCATGAATAATAATAACAAATGATCTTTTTAAAAATATATATTTTTTCCGATTAAGCAACCAATGATACAACTTTTTTGTCTTGACATTCCTTCGTATCTTACTTGATTTCCGAGGTAAAAAAAATAGAAATAACTTCATAACATGTAGGAAAATTATTAAAATGAAATCAATTTAACTTAATGTATTCTCAATATTTATTTATAAGTCACTTTTCAAGATATTAGAAATGAAAAGTAACTACAATTTGACAAAATATTTACAAAAAATGTTGGAAATGGCTACCTTCCGCTTCTCTGCAGGTTGGCTTCTATATTTAGGCAATTTCTCATCATGTAATAGAGCTGGCTGCCTTTATTTCTTCCCCGAAAGCGAAGTGAGATACAAACAAATACCAAGACACAAATAATAACCTGCTGAATCTGTAAAAAACATATTTTGAAAAAAGTCAGTGGCGTACATTTTTTGTTAATACATCCTCCGAGACGCCACTGAAATTCATATTTATCTTCTAGTATGAGCTAATGTAGCATCGTATTGCAATGAACACTGTCAAAATCGAACAATATCAGCACACAAACCTTTGAGATGTTATTGAAACACAAAGATTCTTATAAAGCGCCGTGTATCTTGAAAACTTTTTAGGCCACATTTTTATACGAACTTTTCAACTTAATTTGGTGTAGGAACACATCCCTGTAATTACGGCCTATCGAGTAACACCCTGTATATGGAGTAGATTTCGAATCACGCGTAGAAGGGTTTTCTAATTAAGTTCAAGCTAAAACCAGAAGCACTTTTATTAAACTATTTCAGCATAGTATGATCCTACTGTGATACAGAGTAGTGGGTAAAAGCCTTCAGTCTCAGCTAGACATACACAGAACACCAGTTTTGTCCCATAGGATCTGAAGCCTCTTCGATTCCGATGTCCAGCACGTTCAAGCAAAAATTGCCCCGTCGGCGTTAGCAGCATCACCTGATTGGCCGCCGTCCATTCTAAGGCAATTATTACGATAAATTAATCTAGGGTAGCCTCCTAAATTGAAATCATTCAGCGCAGGGTTTGCAGCGCGATGCCTCTGGCTCGTTCTACGGAAGGAATATCGAGAAAGCTGAGCTTCGAGCGGAATTTCCAATGGCCACATGGGACGCTGAGGAGTTGGTTTGCCCGGAATGGGCATAAGTAGTAAAAGCGCAAACGGGACGGGAATTCTTAATTTAAGAAGACAAAAATGAGGTGCAATGGAGTGTTGCAGGATAGGCTCCGGTCACAGTTGGAACAACCATAAGCAACATAACAACAAGACGAATGAGCCTGTCCTAGCAGTGTAAAAAGTGCAGAAACCTAAACACCAGAGCACCACGGTTGCTATGTGGTGCTTAATTCGACTTTTGAACTGTCTAAAGTTAGTAGAACTGGAAAAAGCCTCCTCAGGTAGATTGTTCCACAACCTCGATACCCTAGGGACAAAGTCGGCCAGTTCTGGATAAACAAAGTTCGACACGGTTAGAACGGGACGCCGAAGAAAGCTCTAAGAAGCAAAGCCCCTTGGCATAGCGGTAGAAGAGATCCAGATCGCGTCCCGTCGGTTCGAAGAGGTCCCGAGACCGTCAGCTAGAGAAGATTCGTCTATCTATCTGACATCTCTACTCTGAACAACATTGAGCATGGATAATGATGTTGGGGCAGCAGCACCCTAAACAAAGCAGTAACCGATAACCGAGACTAGGTCTTACTTGAGAGTTGCACAGAGTCAGGAGGTCAAGTAGAGCGAGGTAGTTCTTAGCCCTGGACAAGTAGCATAGTTTTTCCCAGCAGCTATCAGACCGGAAGTCAGCCACCCATCTGCAAAGCTTCTCAGGATGGAAGTTTGTATAAGAGGGCGGCATGCCACAGCTGATCGAACGCTTTCGTGATATGACGAGCAACGACATGAACCTGACCCTAAGACTGAATGAGTTTATTCCACAGTTACGAGACAGAAGCTAGGAAGGCCCCCGTTGGATCGCTGTGTAAAGAATATTTTCTAAGAACAACTGCATCGTGCAAGCAGATGACACTCCGTTACTTGTTACTACTTACACCATGATTTCATTGCTTGAAACACGGGGTTCCATGCAAGTTTGTCACGTGCCAAAATCAAGTAACCTTTTTTTTACTATTTATCACTTATCCGTAAATTGAACTTCTCTTCATTGATAATAGAGTGCCAATTCCTAGGCCAATCCCTTTTCAATTATTTTCTTTTGGCAAATTTAATAGTTTATTGATTGTATAATTTCACTCGTATTATATCTTTGTTTCTCAGCGATTCAGCATGGTGTTGACGATCAGCAGAAAAAACTCGGTAGTTTTTCTCCGTTAGATGGTTTCCTATAAAACATATCTTCTTCAAGGTCACTCAAGATTCCTTCTTCTAGAACGTTACGTGTTCTGCGTGATTCGCTTTTCTGTTTCCGTTGAGGTCGTGGTGCAGGGATCGTTTCGTATTTTTTTTTTTGTTGTGTAACTTAAGTTTAGTTATTTTGGTTTGGGTGCTACGTCTTCCATTTTTGTATGGGATTTTGACCCTCAGAGGTAAGTTCTTTATTATATACCTTCAGACTTTGATGTTTGAGCTGCCATACGAGGGATGTCTTTTAAGTTTTGCATATAGAAACATAGTAGGCCGCGCGGATCGAACGTCAGTACTGAATCTTAACCTCACTCTTTAGTAAACTTAAATTGAACAATACGTGCAGAGTTCTCACAACAGTGAATTTTTAAGTGTCACCAAGTCATTAGAAAAAGGGAACTCAACCGAGAATATTTTCGCGCCATAATTTATTACAACTTTCAGAGACAATTATCGCAACACGAATGCCTTGCTGAGTTACTGTCTGTTTTCGTCAACGAAGCGTCACATCAGTCGACAATTTCTCGTTGGTATGGAGAATTCAAACGTGGACGGGTGAGTCTTAGCGAAGATCCCAGGGTGGGTGCACCAAAAACGGCCGTCACCCAGCAAAATGTCAATGTTGTGCACGAACTCATCATTGAAGTAGACATGTGACATATCGCGAGATTGAGGCATCCTTGAAGATCCCAAAGACCTCAATTCAAAAAATTTTACATGAAGATTTAGAAGTAAGAAAATTAGTTTTTAGTTGGATACCCCACCTGTTGATTGAAGAGCAGAAAGCAGCCAGGGTTAATTGGTGTCAAAAAACTCCACCGTTTCAATTCCGGAAACTCAAAAAATGTGTACAGCCTTGTCAGTGGTGATGAATCTTGCATTTACTGTTATGAACCAGAAAATAAACGACAGTCGGCTGTTTGGGTATTCCAAAGTAAAGAAAAGCCAACAAAAGTCATCCGTTTTCGAAGTGTTTCGAAAAAGATGGTCGCGACATTTGTGTCAAAAGCGGGTCATATTGCAACAATTCCTCTTAATGAGCAAAGAACTGGTACTGCGGATTGGTATACCACCATTTGTTTGCCAAAAAGTCATCACCGAGCTTCGAAAAATCAACCCCGAAAGAAGAATCATCCTCCACCAAGACAATGCAAGCTCGCACATAGCCCAAAAAACAAGGCAGTATTTAACGGAAGAGAAGTGGAATTATTGGACCATCCTCCATATAGTCCCGATCTAAGTCCTAACGATTTCTTTACTTTCCCGAAAATTAAAAACAAACTGCGTAGTCAAAGGTTCCAGTCACCAAAAAAAGCAGTTGACGCTTTCAAAAATGCCGTTATGGATCTGCCAGCAAACGAGTGGAATAAGTGATTCGAAAATTGGTTCGAGCGCATGCATATGTGTATTAATTTTCGTGGAGAATACTTCGAAAAACAATAAAGTCATTTAAAACTACCTACCCTCGTAACTTTTTAGAACAAGTTAGTTTAGTACATTTTTATCTTTTTTTTGGCGTTGCTTTACTTTTCTTGTACAAAAAAATGTCCATGGTTTTGCTTCAAGTGCGATTGTTTTCAATGAGTAGTTTTATCTCCGACAGAGCAACGAGGCAAGCAGCCTCTGCCCAGTGACGTGCCCACTCCTGGCCACTTTTTGACCAGAGTTGAGAACATCTCGGCCGCGCCTGACAAAAAAGACCTACAGATAAGTTTAATATTTAGGTGCAACATATCTGTAAATATACTAAGTGACATATAAATCCGAACACCCAGTTTAATTGGTTTTATTTTAATAAAATTTTGTATAAGTACTTAATGAAGCATAATAAGTAAATGATAAAAATTTCAAAATGAGTGCACTGCTTTAAAGCCCTTTGACCTTTAATAATGTGTGGATGCACCCTGATGTGCTACGCATTCTCCAACGCGCCTAGGCATGCTTCTGATCAGGTGGTCAATGTCCTCCAGTGGTATCTCATTCCAAGCAACCACCAACTCCTCTCGTAGTGCTTCTAGAGTCTGAGGAGGACGTTGCAAATTGAGCAATCTTCTACCCATCATATCCCACACGTGCTCAATTGGGGATAAGTCGGGAGATCTTGGTGGCCATGGTAACAATGTGACATCATTATGTTGAAAGAAGTCTATTGTGACTCTTGCAACATGTGGTCGGGCATTATCTTGTTGGAAAGTTGGATCTGCCAGGGTGTCAAGATAGGGTAAAAGATGGGGTTCTAGAACTTCGTGGATATAACGCTGCGCGTTCATGTTACCTCTGATGAAGATTAAAGGTGACCTGGAACCATAAACTATAGCAACCCAAACCATAACTCCAACAGTGTGATGAACATGTCTTTCAACAAACAACTGTGAATTCCTCCTTTCACCACGTCACCTTCTAACCCTGGTACGACCATCGTGCATGCCTAAACAAAATCGAGACTCGTGGATACAGACAATACTGTTCCATTCCTGATCCCAGAGTGACCGTTGTCTGCACCACTCAAGGCGATTACGTCGGTGTTCTCGAGTTAAAGGGAGGACCCAGTGTGGCCGGTATGAAAACAAGACAAAACTTCTCATTCGTCGGTAAACACTTCGCATGCCAATAGGTCTTCCGTGTTCTGCAAACCATTCATTTGCAATGGACCTGGTAGTGGAGCAACGGTCCCTTGAGGCCAATAATCTTAGGCGGCGATCTTCACGGTCTGTTGTTCTACGGCGGCGTCCAGTGCCCCTTGCTCTTTGCGTACGGCCTTCTCGAAGCCATGCCTGACAACACCTAACCACAGTGTCTACACTTCTTTGCACTCTAACTGCAATTGCCCGAAAGGAAAATCCACCTTCCCGAAGTCCCGCTATACGGCCCCTATCAAACTCACTAAGTTGACGAAATCGTGCAGGTCTCCGTACTCTAGGCATCGTAACCGATCGAAAAGGATGTCAAGAACCAAAATCCGTTGATTCTTTACTGCGGCTGAAATATTCATTTTTAGAGCGTTAGTGAATTAAAAAAAAGCAGTATAAAAACCGGAATGTCCAACTGATAAGGCTGAAAATTTGTTCACTTGTTATTTACAGTAAGATAAATACATTCACCAACTTTTATTAAAATAAAACCATTTAAACTGGGTGTTCGGATTTATATGTCACTTAGTATACTTCGGGCGTATACCATGGCAGACGTTTCGCGGGGTTATCTCGAAAAATAATTTTGTCAGGTTGTATTTAAGATTTATAACATGCTCTCTTTTTTTTATTACTCGCACTCCAGTGGTGGAGCACATGTGCGTTTTTTTTTATTAATCAATATATTGTGATTCATTTGATATCTTGTTTATTCGGCTCTCTCTGTGTGTACTGTTACTTAAAGTTTGTCATTTCTGTTAGATTCTCCTTTTGTGTGGTGGTCAAGCAAAACAAGTTCCGACTAACATCTCGGGGAGCTGTGGCTTAATCCGTCCTAAGTCACTGGCGCTCTTAACCGCCCCTACTCTCCGCTTTATTGAGCTAGGGCCTAAATTTGCACGCCACTAGATAACTGTTTTGTTTGGACCAACCGTTAGATAGTATTTATCATTGTTTTTTAATAATTAACCAAAAAAAGGCGTGACAAGTTCTTGGTTTAAAAAAATAGTTTGGTTGTAACTGAATCACAGACCGACTTTCTACTAGATATACATCCCTGAAGCAATACAAGTTTTTAGGAAGTCATATATGTGACAACTGTAGCTGGATGATATATGTGGATGAAGTATGCCTATAGCAGTTACGTAGTACTGTTGATAAATCTACTTTATTAATGTATTATCATGCCCAAATACACTATTTCATGCAGTATGATATATTAGCATGGAGTTGATCTAAAGGCCGTCTGACCCGATACGGAATTTTGTGTCAAATTTAGTGCCAAATTTTGTGAGAAATTTCGTTACTGAATTTAGTTCCCAATTTGTTTACAAATTACAATCCTGTCTGACACGTGAAGAAATGTGTGTACTAAATTTCGTACAAAATCATGCGCACTTGGTAAAAAAAACTATGACTGTCAACTTATAACTGTCAACATCTAACTGCCATCTATCACGCCAAAGTCATTCTAACCACACTTTCCTTTGCGGTGGCTACTTTATTCTTTTATTTTTAAACGAATGAAAAATTGTACAGAATGGAGCGATCCCGTAATTCGCATATACGAGTACTATATTACGCGACTGCGGCAGCAGCGATCTGCCCACCTCATGAGAAAACGAAGTAAATGATACCGTAAAGTAATTTGGTGCCGAAGATCGATCAGGGAGAGGGACCAGGGCATGTGTGTACTCCATATGCTGAATAAAGAACTTCTAGTACAGGATCCACGGCCTTTTAAGCCTAATTGGTTCTTAAGTCATTCAGACCATTTCTGAACTTATCCTTGCTTTTTACAACACTTAAGCAATCATATTTCGCATACTCGTTTAGTAATAAGTTACACTGCTCTTTTCATCATGACATCTTTCAAGTTTTCAATCGATAAGGTAGAACAGCAAACACAGGGGAGTTTCGCGAAACTGATGAACACAACTGATAACATCAACTAATGAATAAAAATGCACTGTAAGCAGTGAAACTATTAATTTTTTGCATCTGGAGAAATTTTGATATTTTGGCAAAACAGAAGGCAATAGTATGGAAGCTGAACCCGAGGGGTCTCCAGGCAACCCCTCTACTGCTTTAAGTGGAGTTGGCGCGGGGTGTGACGCTACTTTGTAAAATATACCAGACAACCAAATGCCCTTAATAACTTAATGCTCAGGTTTTTAAACTTACAAGTATTATTAATAAATCAGTTCCCAATGTTGATACTTCCAAAACAGCAAAACGTAGACATAACAGTCATTCGAGTGACATACATACCGAGACTAATGAGGACACACATGGTGATCTTTTCACATCTGTGTGACGTCGCAAAGTGAGACTGTACAAAACAGAATTTTATCCGCTACCGATTGAAATACCCCAATAATGAAAAATCAGTCAACCTGAAGCCGTCTGTTTCTTTACCTTCTGCTGCTTCTACTAGCCAGCCAAGGGAAAGACCTTCATCAGCATCGACACAAAATGTTCCTTCTGTTATGCCCCTTGTGCAGTCTGATCCATGGGCTGGCCGCAACTCCTCTTCCTTGCCATCCAGCGGATCTCTAAACACACAGGCCCAATCGCCTCGCCAGGAAATGAGAGATGCGACAAACGTTCGCACTTTAAACTATTCCTTCATAAGTATTCGTGTTGAACGAGCAGTCGCCGTTGACGCTGGGATGCGTATCATCCCCAACCGAAGAGAAAGAAAGAAGAGGAAAACATCCTCATCACACTTTCCCTTTGCTCACTGAGCGCAACATCCACTTCTCGAATCAAGTATGACATTTCGAGCGATCATCTTCCTATCGTATTGGGAGTGGGTAATGAGCAAACTCTTCCAAGGACACGGGTTGATTGGGAGCTATACAAGTCGCTCCTTAGAGAGTTCCCCAATATCCCGATCATAGATGATGAGAACGGTATGGATGCTGCTCGATCGGAGTGGAAAGGTTCCGTTCAGCAAGCTTGCAGCGTGCAGCTATTTTACCAGTACTACGACATGGCAGACCTTTTCTCCCTGGAGACATTCATCAGAAAATTTATGATAAAAGAGCTGCAATTGAGCAAGCGAAGAGGTCTTGTCATCCAGATGACATTAGCATAGCGGCGAATCTTGTTCATGAAGTGAGAAATACTATTCATGAATTCCGTAATGAGCAATGGAGCGACTTTCTGTCAGGGATGCTTGAGTCAAGTATTCCTCCCTGGAAAGTTCCAAAGTCGCTCAGTAACGGAAAACGAGAACAACTCCCGCACGTCCACGGTCCTGGGGGCATAGTCTGTAGGACGGAGGAAAAGTTCGAGGTTTTCGCTGGTGCAATGGAAAGTCAGTTCTCTCCCAACTATGACCTTGATAATGACCTCGACGAGTCTTCAGGAGATTTCTCAACTGCATGACACACCATTAAAGACCTCAAGTTGCGTAAAGCACCTGGAGAGGATCGAACCACTAATAAGGCGCTGAAGCTGCTTTCACGCAAGTCTCTAACTTATCTCGTCGCAATAATCAATGTCATGCTAAGGACCCAGCGCTCCTCAACGGCGTGGAAGACCGCTGGCGTTATAATGATTCCAAAGAAGGTGAGTTTGATATTTTCCCAGTATTACCGCTCCACTAGTCTACTGTTAGCTCCTTCTAAGCTCGCTGAATGATGATTCTATGCCACCTTGAAAATTTCTCGTCAGACCACAATGAGCATAGTACAGGCGGTTAGGTTTGTTGAACGAGTAACCAGGGGGTTCACCCGTAACGAAAGTACTGGCATCTTGCTTCTGGATGTCTCAAAGGCATTTGACAGGGTGTGGCACAAGGGCCTC